TATTTATGACTCTTGAGGTTGAGGCAAGAGGATCATGTGTTGGAGCTCAACTGGGCTATATAGTGAGGCCATGTCTCAATAAATAAGTGAAATAAAGTAAGGGAGTTTGAATGGCCACGATACTCACTAATTTACATTCTGGGGTATTCATATGTTTCTTTTTTTTTCTCACGCCATTCTTTGTATTGTATTTGTATACTCTGAGAGGCTTGTGGTGTTTGTATTGACCATACAACATGAATTCCCAATTACATTTTGTGCCTGTAGTTAAATTACCTTTGATGGTTCCAAACTTGGAAAGTACGTTTTGAGGCATCCAAGTTGACACACTCCTGAAGTACCATGTGGCGTTCCTGAGATCTGCCACTGTCACCTTTGCTTGTTGTATATGTCATTCTTCCCTTATTAGAATGTAGTGCCAAACAGGCCGCTGCCAAGAGTACTATGAAACGCCCACATGACTTTTCTAGTCACGACCTGCTCGACTGTCTTCACTGTATGTAGAGAGTACATTTGCTTTGTGCATTTCCTATTTGAAGGCCATTGAAGTTATTCACAACTCAGCTGCTGTGAGAAGTGCTTCCATGAAGCTCGTGCAGGCATCTGAGATGGAACTTAGGTAGAACACCCAGTAGTGCAGCAGCAGCCTGTGGCAGGGCTGATGTTTAGATTTTGTAGGAACTTGCATTGTGTCCTCAAGGGTCTGCATTTTAAACTGCGCTTTGATATTCTGAGTATCTGTTAGGCAGTGGTAGTGTCAGACATGAAGCTCTGCCTCTGAACATTGTTTTTCTCTCTTTATTTACTCCTCTCTGCATTAGGAAAGACAGATTTAAAGCCCTGTTACTTTAATGCAGATACCTTTACATCTAAACTTTATGGAGTTAATTTTTTGATCTACTTCTAATAAACTTGTGATGGTTAAATATTTTCTAATATTGATTTTGTTAGCAGCAGTTGGTTGAAGAAATTCAACTGCTCTTTCCTGTTGCAACATTGCCCTGCCATGGATGTGCCTATGCTCAGGTCCAAGGAGAGCTAGGAGTGACCACAAAATGTTTAAAAGCCACAGATTTCAGGCAGAACAGTTTTACTTTTGAAACCACCTAAACCAGAATAAAACTGGGAGTAAATGGCCAATTTCTCTTTCAAAGTAAGACCGTTATAAGTAAAATCCTGTTAGAAGAATTGACTCCCCCTTTTGAGGGGAGCAGTCAGGTTTCAATACTTTGCCTCTACCACTTATTAAAAATTGCTGAATCAAAGTTCCCATTATGTAACTGTCACATCCTGCTAAGTAAAAATGTTTTCCCCTCCATTTAAAGTAGGATCTGCTGTTGAGTCCCAAGTATGAATAAAGGCAGTGCTTTTCATGGCCGTTGTTTGTTTCTCTCCCCTGTGCACATGATCACTCAGCAACTGAGCCACAGGCATTTGCCACCTTTCTTTGATTCTTGAGTCTGCTTTATGATTGAGATGCCTTATAAACCAATTGGAACTTTCCAGGATGAACCAATGTGAAATTTCCTTCTGGAATAAAAAAAAAAAAAAAAAGTTGTTGCCAAAGCTGATCATTTTAATTGCATAGTCATGGTTCTGAAGAGGAGTTTACATAGATACGGGGATTTATTAGAGGGCTTACAGCCTTTGTTCCCACTATTCCAACAGTGGCTGTCTCTCAACAGAAAGGCCCAAGAATTATTCTGTTGGTGAGGCTGAGTGTGCCTTCAGAGGACATATGAGAATTGTACTTGTCGTCCTTGAGCAAAAGCTTCTCTTCCATGTCCTTTGCGTGAGCTGCTACAGGAAGGTCCGCCCAGATTTAGGGTGGGTGCTCTGATCCTACCTCAAAGGATCCAGTTAACTAAAAATCCCTCACAAGTATGCCCAGCTGCTTGGTTTTTTGTTTGTTTGTTTGTTTGTTTGTTTTAAGTTAATTCCAGATGTATTCAAGTTGACCACCATTAATAGGAAGATAAAGTAACAATAGCTTGATGTTGTGTTACTGTTTTATTCTTTAACTCTTGAGTCTCTTTAGAAACATCCAAAAAATAACCATGTCTATTGCTGCATTTAGGAATTAAATGATACACAGCAGTCCCTTCCCTACCAGTGTACACAGGAGACATAGTAAGACTCTTCTTAGTGGATGCTTGAAACTGTGGGTAGTGCGGAGTCCTATATCTGTACTTTCCTGTACATATGTATACATAGAGGAGGCTGTAAGTAATCGATATTGCAGTTCAGCTTGTGCATGGCGTCACAGATTAGCAGTAGCATTTAGTCATAAGACTTACTATACTGTAGTGGAAGTTACTGTAACTAATAGCTCTAGGGTTTCCTTACCTAGATGTGCAACAGCATAACTGGCGTGGACTGCTTTCCCCTTTGTCACCGTCTCAGTGACAGGTTGGTCCTTACAGAGATCGGAACTCAGTTTTCTTCTTAAGTTGAGAACTTTTGTCTTCTCGTTTAAAGAAAACACGCTACACTAAGCTGCTTTTTGACACATTTGAATCACCAGCAACCAGCATCATTATGCTTACTCTTTGAGGCTATTACTAAATAAAATAAGTTAGCATCAGCCCTGTGACACTGTGCCCGTTGATCTGCTAGCTGAAATGACTACTGAGTGAGTGGGGGTGGGCAGCACATGCAGTGTGAGCACACTGGACAGAGTGCTGGTTCACCTCGTAGGTGGATGGAGCAGGGTACTCAGACTGCTACATGGTGTGAAGCTTACATTTAATATTTTAGACTACGATCGGCTGAAGACAACTGAGAGTCAACCACAGCTGATGGGATGATGGCCACAGAAGGTCTGCAGCTCTCTTTGTCTTCCCAATACTGCAAGTGTGAAATTTCCCCAGATCTAAGGCGAGAGGTGTGAACGCTTCCCTTCAGACAACTATCCATTGTAGCAAAGCCATAGCCTTGATGGCTTGTACATGACAGAAAGAATGGCTTTACAAACAACACGACTCAGTACTTAGTAAAACGAAGATCACCTTCCAAGTTTCAAAAGAATGTATGGACTTAAGTGTAGAACTTAGAATGAATGAAAACTTGAGAATTACTAGTAGAGGCTCAGTGCCTATAAGTGAATGTTTTAAACAGCTTTTTGTATTGGATGGGGTCAGTGGGGATATGTATCGGAAGTTGCTTGTTAGGAGGGCTTGAGTGCATGAGGTACCTATGTTTCTGGATTTCAGAGTCTATATTGAGTGTTTTTCTTTAGTCACTCTCCACTGTTTGTTTTGAGACAGTATCTCTCACAGAGCCTGGGACACACATTTGGCTAGACTGTGACCAGCTAGCTCCAGGGATCTTTCTGTTCCACTTCCCCAGCTCTGTATGACAGATGAGTGCTGCTGGGCCCACTTTTTTTTTTTTTTTTCTGATGCTAAGGATCAGAACCGGGCTCCTCATGCTTATGTAACAAGCATTTCACCAGCTGAGCTACCATTTCAGCCCTAAAGATCTTATGTAAAAAGGGTAGAAGTATCCCTGATCTAAGTCACATGTGTGAGACCAAAGTACTTTGGAGTTCAGACCCACCCCACTCTAGAATTTTGGAATATTTACACACACACACGGGAGGTGGGGGAGGGAGGGAGGGAGGGAGGGAGGGAGAGAGAGAGAATGAATGAATGAATGAATGAATGAATGAATATGAGATGTTTTGAGGTTGGAATCTATGTTTCGGTAGGATATTTATTCGTGTTTCACATGTACCATGGTAGGTATGCACACTACCAAATGAGCCACGCTCTTAGCCCCTCATTGCTTAAATCCCATGGATGTCAATGAGAGCTCTAAAATTGAAGAGTATTAGTTTAAATTTGGTTCTTTAGTATATGTTTTGCTAAAGAATGAAAATTTTTGTTGCTTAGGACAAAACCAATCAAAGGTGGCTAATGAGCTGGTTCAGTGGGTAAAGATACTTGTCACCAGGCCTCATGACCTGAATTTAATCCCTGGGATCCACCTGTAGAAGTGATTGTCCTCTTATCTCCACTTTGTCTCCCCACCCCCAGTAAATGTAGTAAAAAGCCTGCAAGTGATTCAGTATATACTTAAGTGTTCCTCTGTCATAGGGTCTGCTGTGGTTATGGAGGTGCTCAGAGAATTCGCTTTTCTCGCCTCCTTGGGTTTCAGGTTTTTGACTAAAGATGCCTAACCTGTTCCCTGTTTTATCTCAGATGGGCAGTAGCGCTCCAGTAGTCTCTGGGGCTCTGCTCTTACACAGCAGAGGTGGTTTAGTTTGCATCAGGTGCTTATCAAAATGCCATATCCATATTTTATTTACCTGCCCATTCATTTATAAGAAGTTCTGAATCTTAAGGATTCTCTGTAGTTTTTTTTTATGAAATACGTTTGTTACATGCACTTCAGTGATTGGATTTCTAGTTCTAAAATACAGGAGATAGTTCTTTTTTGTAGCATGGCTGCAAGAGCTGGAGTTGCATGCATTACTGTGTCTACTAAACTTCTGGAAGCGAGCCAGTGTGTCTATGGTGAGTTTCATATGTAAGCACTGAGCCACTAAAAGCCTTGCACAGGGTTACAACTCTTCTGAGAGAGGAAGCGTTTGGAAATTCAGCAGTGAAGCAGCAGCAGCAACAAGCAGTCACAGTGGTAGTAAAGATAGGGCAGCTTCAGCTAGCACATCTCTCAGAGCGAGTCAGTGAACAAGCACACAGCTCCCATACTGCTGCCTCGGGAGGCAAAGCAGAACTGTCCAGGGCAAGCTTCTAGTTTCATGGTTATGATGTCAAGTCATGTGATAATACTGTACCATAAGTTGCCAACTTCGCTTTACTCTAGAGAAGATCCTTTGCTGCAGTGCTTTTTTCCCCTTTTTCTTTCATTTTTCTTTTCTTGAAAGAGAAAAAATTGTGCAATGTATGTTTATGCCTACACCATGCCGAGGCGACACTTAGCAGTAAATAATCTCTGTATCCCCGAGGTAAGATACTGTTTCTGCTTTCCCTGCACAGTGCTGCTGCAGCACGGAGCCGATCCAAACATCCGGAACACCGATGGGAAATCAGCTCTGGACCTGGCAGATCCTTCAGCAAAAGCTGTCCTCACAGGTAAGGAAGCAGAGCTAGTAGGCTGATGTTCTAAGATTTTCATGCACTGAATATTTTTCCACTAATGAAGCTAAGAAAATACTAAATACCTTATTGATTGGATATGTATCTTAATTAATTGTGTTGAGATATATTCCTATATATGTGTGTATATATATCATATAGATTGATATATATTAATTTTACTGCTTATAGCACTGAGAATTACAGCATTAAATCATAATGTTTCTCATATTTTGTCAGTTTTATGGCTTACATCACAGTTTTCCTGTACCTCCTCTTCTTGGCTGTTTTTTTTAAGCCCTTCACTGTTGAGCAGACAAGGGCATTTGTGTTATTGTAAAAGTAGTTTTCATTGGAAAGACAACCTGCTGCCTTATTTCTGGGGTCAACAGTTAAGCACTCTGGTGCTTTCCTCACCCACTTCTATATATTTTATCATGTCTTTGCACTTTTCACCCTGATAGCCAGGTTTCTTGGACTGCAGTAATATACTGTCTTTTTACTTTTGATAATGCAGACTTAGGGCTCTTAAATGTTCTTAAAGTAGATGCCAAGAAGCATCACAGAGGAGACCCTGAGGGTAGAAAGCACCCCTTGTCACGGCTGCAAGCTTCTGTTTAACGGCTAGATCATGAGCTGCTGGTCTCATTGATCATCCTTCTCGGTGCTGCAGTGGCTCTGTTTGTTTTTGTTCTCAGCATCCCGGCCCTGCTGCCTTTGCCCTCCTTTACTTTGTAATTTGGAGCCTCTTTGTCACTGCAGTGCTAACGGTGCTGTTGTAGATTGTGTGGAAGTGACTCTTAACTATGAGAGATCTGTTTAAGTTGTCAATCTGTGCTGTGCACTCTTAATAGAGATTATGAGGTGAATAGAAGGCATTTATGTACAGAAAGCTTTAAAAATATATGGAATTTTGTTTAATTACTCTACTTGGAAAGACAACTTCCCACTGTGCTAAAATTAATATAATCACTGCTAAATCAGAGTAATCTGATATTTCTCAATTAATTAAAGATTAAATGAGCTGCAGCATGAGGAGAGTGTATACCAGAGGAATAAAGCTGTTTAAATCAATGGAGATAAAGTTAATGCACAGTTGTAAATGATGAAATCAGGCCTACCTGATTTGTCTCCAACCTGCCTAGGTCCTGAAACCTTCAGTCTCTTATTAAACAGTGGTGCACAACAGTATAGCAGCTTTCAGTGGTCTCTGGCCAGAAGAGAAATTGAGTACGGAAACAGCTCCTCTCAGAGTAGCTGCTACAGTATGTGACAAGTGCCAAGCAGGACTGTATTTGAGTGTCCTCCCCCTGACCTTTGCTCTTCTCCATCTCTCTGCCTGCCTGTTGGTTTGTTAAATGCATCATTGCCTTTAGGACTGTACTTCTACTTTGTGAAAGATGTAAGTTTAGATATAAGCTATTAGCTGTAAGAAGCCGTCTCCTACTTTTCACTGCAGGTCAGAGAAGATCATTTTAGGGTAGAGCTTTGGCATGCTAGCTTGAAGAGGCTGGAGCTTGGTGGAGGACAGATAGCATATCTGACGTTGATTTGGATACTGTCTAGCATTGCACTTTACTTAGATGGGGAGAGTCTACCTTCTTAGTAACACCTACTACTAATATGGTTCAACTGCTACTGGCACTGTTCCTTTTAAAACTATTTTTTTGAGGTAACTTTTCTTTCAGTTGTGGTTTAAGACAAAAAGTTTAGAATAGTAGTTTTCTTGGAAATATAAACTATTCTACTGCACATTTATGCTATATAACACACAGTAAGGAAACATTCAGGTGAGCTGTTTCAGAATGGTCTTCTGCTCAGATAGGCTTGTTACTAAGGAATTCTTTCTGATGGAGTTACGATGGAAGTATTATTTCCCAAACTAAATGTTAGAAGATTAAGCATTGATTTTACAAAGGGAAGTGGACTAAGGGCATGACCCAGTCTTGTCTAGTAAGTGCAAAGCCCATGTTCAGTCCTCATCACACTGCTGAAGGAGAAGGAGGCTCTGAAAAGGATAGCTTAGAGGTGTTAGGCTTACTCCGAGTCTCATTTTTATTCCAGATGAGTTGCAGTACCATTATATAACTTGAATGATTTTCTTTCTTTAATTTCTCTATGGGTATTTAGGTGCTGAAAATCTGATAGTCTATCATTTATGTTAGTTTACTACATTAGCCAAACAATGTGCATGTATACTTTAAAGCAAATTAACAAAGAGAAATGTCTTTTTCTTTTGAAAATTAAAAATGTGTTTGATTGATTTTGTTTTATATATAAAGAGCAAACAGAGGCTGTCAGTATGATAGTTGACCATTACCACATAGCCTTTGCTTTGCATAGTGCCATTAGACTTTTGAAAGAGAAGGCTAATTGGAAAGACTGGTTCAAATGTTTGCTGAACTATTTGAGTGAATGATAAAGTCTATAGAAGTCTAAAAGGTTTTAGCTTTTGTTAATCACCTGTGTTCTAGGTAATCAGCTGGGGGACTTGGAAACAGTGTGGGTTTGTTTGTGTATTTTTTGTGTTGGTTTTTAGAATAAGAATATAAAATGCCAAAGTTTATGTAAATATTATTGAGCAAGATATTTGGTGTGTTATAATTTCGGATTTTTAAGAGTAACAGTTTGGACTTTTTCTGTTTATAAGAAATATGTTTGGAAATAGAGGGAAATAAGAAAAAGATAAAAAAGAAAGATCATATTTTCCCTTAGAGATGCCATTGATGTCCTTTGTACTTTGTATAGTCTCTCCTTTTCTACTATACACAGCAACATGTTATGCAGCACTGAATAAAATATGTACATACACATATGTTTGTGTTTTGCTAATGATTGATATTCATACCTAATATGCAATATTTGAATTAGTGGTGTGGATAGATGCCCCTGTGCCCAGGGCTTTGTGCATTATAGACAAATACTCTACAGACCCTATTTTTTTTTTTTGCTTTGATTCATCTTTGTGACTTTGAGATCATCAATTTCATCAGAATTGTGCTTCCTTACCATATCCAGATGTAGCACCTAGAAATGGGTGTTTCTGTTTAAACACTTGAATATGTTTGAAGGTTTGTTTGTATTGCATGTGCTATAATTATAGGAATGCCTAACTGTTAAAAAGGTACTGTTAGCCAGGCAGTGGTGGTAGACACCTTTAATCCTAGCACTCAGGAGGCAGAAGCAAGGCGGATCTTTGTGAGTTTGAGGTTAGCCTGGTCTACAAAGCAAGTTCCAAGACAGCCAGGGCAATACAAAGCCTGGCTAGAAAAATCATAAAGAGAAAAGAAAAGATACTGTTTCTTAGCAGGACTAAGGAGGATTTTTTTTCCCCATGTAAAGTAAAATCTCTGGGGCACTGTGGGAAGGATGGAGGGTGTCAGTGGGATGAATCAGGCAAGGTGAAAACTGGCTAAAACTGAGAGTTTACAGAAAGATAGATGGGCCAAGACATGTTTATGGTTGGCAAGATCAATGATAATTAGAACGTGAACTGTGTGTTTCTATGGTCACAAGGTTGGCTTGGAAATTGGCCCTGGTGCCTTCCTAGTTGATATTGAGAATCAAGAATAAGGACGAAGGATGTTTTGCACAAAAAAGTCTGAAAACTAAATAACTCTTCACTCTTGTAACCCCAGCACTTGGTAGATTGAGGCAGGAGACTCACTGCAAGTTTGAGGTCAGTTGAGCTACTTAAAGAGTTCCAGGTTTCTCTGTATTATGTATTATGTATTATTTCCCTGTCTCAAAAACAACACACACAGCCCAAACCAGTAAGAAACTTTAACTTGAGCTCAGTGTACTTGTTAAGAAATGCTCATCTGTGGTTGCTGGGCAGCCTGCCTGTGCTGCAGAGTGATGAGCTATGGCTCAGCATCTCAGACAGTATTGAGGAGTGGTGAGTTCCTGTAGAGGCTGGCATGGTCATTCAGCAGTGGATGGCCGGAGTCCTCCTCCACTGCTTCCCACTACTTCTTTAGGTAAGTGGAATAATTAAATGAGGACTTTAAGGATCTGGACTCTGCCTGCTTAGCTTTGATCACTAGGGGTTCCCTCAAGGAAAGGTTTCTCATTCTTTTCTTACACTTTCATCCATCTTCTTGGTATTAGGCCTACATGCTTGCTGTACTTTCAGATTTATGTATCTTCTGTTTCTCACCACCTTATGCTTTAGCCTTGGGAACCAAATCTTCATCCTCTTTCTTCCCAGTATGGGGCTCTGAGTCTCAGTTCTCTTCACTGTAGTCAGAGTAGGCTTTATAGAGCATAAGTCTGCATCCTGTTCTTTAACATATGTATTCCTATTACCCCTGCATAAAATTCAAATTCTTCAGCTATGGCCTGTCATGATCTTGCTTATATCGTGCATATTTCAGTCTTTTATTCTCTGCTCCATTTTTCATACAGTTGGATGTTTCTCAGACACACAAGTTCTTTTCTTTGTCTGCAGTAAACATGGCTCTAGATGAGTATACATGATATTTAAAATGTTTGAGTTATTGATAAGTAAAAGACAGGTAAAATAATGTAAGTAGGCCTTATAAGAGTTCTTGTCAGAAATACACATACTACTTTGTAATTTCCAACCATGTTGGAAGACCACAGCACTCTAGTATTTCAGGCTATTCATAATCAACTGTCTTTATCTATAATTAAAGTCATCAGACTTATATCACCATTAACTCAAATGATGGCACATATTGTAATACCAACCTTGAGCTTTGTGGGAGAGAAGGCAGGGGATTACAAGCTCAAAGTCATCCAGTATCCTATGTCAGAGAGCCCCAGGGCGGAGGATAGAGCTGGCTGATCACATTGGATGCTACTATGTTCTCTACTCTTAGCATGAAACCGCTGTCTTAAAAGCCTAAGGAACACCCAGTGAGAGCCTCCATTAATCAGTAACAGTATTGTGAAGCCCGATAATTAGTTGGTGTGTACTCCGAGTTAGTGTGTACTTTGAGAGTAGCTGTTATTTTGGGGGTTGGGGGGTACTA